CCATTCTCCTGGCTCAGAGGGACAGACATACATAGTGGAGGTGGGAGGAGGCCTCAGTTATCAATCTAGGGTCTGCAGGGACGGGTGGAGGGAAATTTTATTTTATGTTTTGTCTGGGGCATCAGGAAGTGTGGATCCCTACACAGGGTTCACTTTATACTGATACAAAACCTCTGTCTGCCTCAAAGCATTGATTTTTGGTGTAATAATACCTTTACACACATTCCTATGATACAAAGACATCAGCAAGTTTAAGAAGCAAAGGCAGCACTACAAAATTACACAACCACGTATTAAATGTACCTGAAGACTCTCAATTACAGAACCCTCCATTTAAAGCTGTGAACAGACCATTTAGTCTTTAATGACCCGACTGCAACAGCCGCCTCCCCAAAAAATGCACATCTGTACGAGCCAGACTCATGCTTCAAGGGCAACAGTAGACGATTTTAATAAGCACCTGCAACTGTTGCTGCTTTCGTCAAATCTGGCAAATGAGGCACAAAATTGTTGGAGGTAGAGCGTTGTGGAGGCTGATGAATGAACGTAGCTCTGCAAGAGACAGCGAGAACATGCAATCTCTGAAGAGGCAGAATCTGATGGGGACGAGGGCACTTATCTGCAGCCAGCCCGAGAGAACAAAATGGGCACGGGCTGGGAAATAAACCAGGGAGAGTGGAAGAAAAGGAACTGAAAGGAAGGCACAATTGAGATAACAATGAAGGACAAAACCAATGGTGCTCTTGAGAATCAGTACTCCAAATTTCCTGTTTGGAAGGCAGAACTAAAGGAGCTACCTTGCATTGTGTGCAGTGCCCCTGCAAACTGCCAAACAATGCACAAAGCACAAATGCATCATGCTTAATGAAGCAGATCCTTGAAAGACGCCATTTCTAAAAAGAGTAAAGTAGCAATTTACCTGCATGTGTTCTGTTGAGCTGCTGCTGAGCTCGTCCCCAGACTCGGAGTCATTGTGGATTTTGTTCAGCCCCTCTCCTGGCAAGTCACCCGGTGGTGAGGTCTTGTCGCTATCGGGACTTTTGTTGTGGTTGTTCCCCGCTTTGAGCGGAGGCGAGTCTGCCCGTGTCCTTGGCAACGTGGAATTGTTGGCGTGGTGATGGTTGTTGTTGTTGTGAAGAAGTACTAGTTCAGCCACCACCTTGCAGTGATGTGGACTCCCCAGATTCTGGTTAGCATCCTTGGGCAGAACTGGTGGTGTGACGCGATCAGAGGATGGCGAAGGGGTAGAGGAAGGTGATGGACGCCCAAAGCTGGACATTTCTGGCTGGGGTCTGTTGAGGTTTTCATTGGACGCCCGGCAGATATCCAAAACAGTGGGCTTGGCCCTCAAGGTGGGCTTCTGGGGGGGCATGAGTGCCCGACGCACCTCCCTGACATACTGCGCCGGCACATAAAAGGCCTTTGTGCCTTCCTCCTTCTTCACCTGCCACCAGTCCTCATTGGTCTTCTTCACCAGCATATACCACTCCCCCTGGCGGATAGTCACCATCTTGTCTTTGGCCTTGTACTCATAGTCGTACTCCACCTCGATGTAGACCTGGCCCGGGGCGACCGGCAGTCCCTCTCTGTCAGCCATGACTGCCAGAACAAGCACTTGAACTCTGACCTCAGCTGCTCAGTGACCCACGCCTGGAGGGCTCCTCATGTCTGACTGGGGGAACGGCTGGACTGTAGGACATAAGAAAGACAGGGGATGTTTTTTAAGTTAAATGTCACAAGCAGTATTTTTAAGACCTTTAGCGAGCTCAGACACATGAACATATACCCACCAGACCACACAGACAAGCTGTTTCATTGTACAAACGTCCCAGCCTTATTACTCACCTGATTACCACCAACCACAAAGTGCTACTGCTGTAAAACACTCATATTATGACACGATCCACTTCCAGACAGACATACTCTATTGGTGAGTAAAGAATGGAAACTCCTCCCTCAGATCATCAAAACCCACAACAGACAGTCAACACTGATTGCTCTGGTAACCGATACCACTAAGCATATCCAGCCCGGTAACCTGATCACCCACTGCGGAGCTAAAGGTGATGACAACATGACCCACACACACTGATCCTGCATGCGATCCAATGACTACAATGACTCCCCCGAGCTTACATTCTCCTCAGAGACTGCATCCAAAAATAAAGTGTGTGTCCCGCTGTGCAGTTTGGAATCATTACGCATTAATGCAGTTACAAGACACAGTCAGAACCTTTAAAAAGCTTAGGGTGCTCTTCTCGATATATCACAGAGTGAGTCAGAGGACAGCTGGGCCCCCCGCCACTCCTGCAGGGTTTGTTTTGGGATGAGGCCTGTCATTGATCCGTCTGTCAGAGCGTCCCTTCATCGGTTAACCTAAAGAAATACCGGGGCGCTCCCATAGCAGAGGAGCTACCGAGCCATGGCTCCCCTCGTGTCAAATTCTTCCTCCCTGAAATAGCAGCCGCCATGGAGCGACATCCTGGAAGTGCAGGCGGTAAAAGCAGGTGCTTTTAGTGAGCCGTGAGAACACGCCACTGAATCTATAAGGAGCCCATCCTTATGTAAAGGAATATGTACACACGCTCTGAGGCTCAGACTGTCAGCTACGCACCCAGAATAGATTTACGGTGGTGAGAGCCGTCTGGGGCCAGAGTGGGAGCCCACGAGAGATCAGCTGCATGTTCATAATGGGCTTAAATTGTTTCTGTTTCATCTGTTTCAACACCATGAAGCACACATACACACACAATGTTACGTCATGCCGGGTCTTTTGATGTGTGTGTGCCTGACAGTGGCTGAGTCCGGGCCTGCCGCAGAACAAGCTTCAGCCGTGATGTCAACACGTCTAAGCCTCTATGAATGACTGTCTCTCAAGGAACAGTCACTGTCTGTTTTAATTTGTGTGAGTATTTGATTGAGTGTTGGGAATCAGTCACAGATCCTCACGTGACCTCCCCACCTCTAACACCACACAGACACATCACCATCACACCATCACCAGAGGTGCCAGAGATGAAGTCAGGAGTCTGTCAGAGCTTCTAGTCACACACATGATAACGGCACCATCAACCATGTTGCATGGCAGCCACCGTCCTGACCCCCTCACAGGGACTTCACGGTGCTGCTGCTCTGAAACACTGGGTTTCTGGCAGGTGTTTTAGCTGCGTGTACTGCATTCTAAGATAAAGAATAAGCCCTGTAATAAGTGATGTGACAATGGCAGAGTATAGGTATGTCCGGCTGATAACTTTACCTACAACTGTCCTCCTCATACTATTAGCATCTTAGAGACACTTATCCAAAAGATTATGGCTCCCCAAATATGCGCCCGTACAACCAAAGCCAGTTCCCAGGCAGTGTCATAGAGCTGATCACATAACTGGCAACCCAGGAAAATCACAGTGAGCAAAATCAAATTAAATGATCAAATGTGGAGTAACTTTGTCTTCCTAGAGGCAAATCAAAACCCAGAGAGAGGCTGGCAGGAGATCAAACATGACATCACCCACCTTTTTCAGGGGCCCCGCATCTGACTCACTACGACAAAAACGTACAGTTAAAACTGACTCAGACACAATACGGCAGAAATTTACAACTCCACTCCCTCCCCCCTCTCTCTGTCAAATGCTGCTGTGTCCCAGAGTTCTGGCAGAAGACCCGGGAGAGTAAATTTCACTGCAATTGAATCCCCGTCACCGCGTGGTGTCAGAGCAAAGTGAGGTCCCAGAGGAGCGCGCCAGCCAACTTGTTGCTCCGTGGAGACCCAAAGGCTGGCGCTCATGTTTAGAAACAGCCGAGACTGAACAACTACTGTCCGTACAGACCAAAGCCCACTATTCTTTTAGTGTATTTGGTCATCTTCAACGTGGGGCCCAAGGTTTCAATAACAGCTAGTTTTAATCAGGTTCTACTGCATGTACTGTACCTCCATGCTCTTATAGCCAGACCACCCTAACCAACTCTTTAAAACATCAAAATCTCGCCTGGTCTTTCATGACATTATGTAAGCTTATATTGCTGTTGTTGTGACTGCATTTCATCTGTAGACAGATATAGGTATAGAAAAGCTCAATCAATAACACAAATCTGATGGCAGATGAGGTTAATGGTGGCTACTGCAGCAGGAAATGTTAATAAAAACATGTCTGAGCACCTTGCCTACATGGCTCTGCAGTGGAATGCTATAAATCAGTGTCCTTTAGTTAAAAACACATTAAATGGCCTCATGGAAAAGCTCTATGACATGACACTCAGTGTTGGCTGTAGCAGCAGATAATCAAGGTGTGCATGAACGCAGAGATCACGACCTGTGCTTTTGTCTGCATACATCTGCAGAGCAGCCACTGTGGCAGCACAAACACCCTGACACTCGGACTGCCTTTGTCCCTGCGCTTCATTCAAAACAGATGTGGCCGAGCAGCATCCACTCCAACATGTGCTGCTGCTGCCGCTGCTGCATTTCAGCCCATCAGCCCATCTCTGCGGCTCCGTTTCTGCGCATTTGCATATGCACTGCTTGAAAACGGTGTTGCAATTGAAAGCCCCGCAAACAAACAGCGTGGGTCTATAAATTGCGGGGGGCTGAGCGGCCAGAGCATGCCTGGGGCGGGTGGTGAGGGAAGAAAAGGGGGGGCATAGGTGGGGGGCAGGGTCCCTACCAGCCCTACACGGACCGCAGAAATACAACACAAAGGAGTTCAATCCATGAGCATTCATAACAAAGGACTCGACATCACCCAAGGATTCCCAGGAGCGAGGGAAGGGCAGGGACGGTGCCTGCCCGGAGAAAGCACCCCCCTGAGCGGGGACTAACAGCCCAACACACCGCGAGAAAATAAGCCCAACATATGTGTAGGTGCGTGCCACACAGGCACAAGGAATTTGTAATTACCAAGCCGTTAAAATGTCTCAACCAATCAACATTTAGATTGTTCCACCGATGGGAGACATGTTTGTGACAATTTCCAGCGGCTTCGTGCTCGGACAAAAGGTTCTGCAGGTTCACTCGGATACAAACCCCCCGATCTGCAACAGCGTGCATAGCAACAAAGTAACTCCGACAGAAGCCAATAGCCTCTCGCTGACCGGGCGACGGAGCAGCCCCACGCAAAACTCAGACACTCACCTCGAAAAACTCCAGTGGGGTCTCTGTGTCCCGCGTCCACCGTACAGCTAGTTTCACAGGAACTTTTCCCACCTATTTCACTGTCGGCTGCTCCGACTGAAGTCCGCAGCAGACCTCCACTCAGTCGCTCTGTTCGCAATCCCCCGCCTCTCCACGCGCTGTCAAGCTCGGTGCGGCAAACGCACGCCATATCCGGTCTCAACCTTCAAAGTTAAAGCTTCAGTGGACGAACTTGGATGTTTTGTTATTTGGGGCTTAAAGTTACAGCAGAGCAGCTGAAAATAATGACAACAAATTGCTGTGTAGTTCTTTTCAGTTATCCCCTTCTTTTGGGTGGTCATTTCCCCTAGTATTTACCATTTCTTTGACATATTTGTTGTTAAGGAAAACAGGAAACCTTTGTTGTGTGATTCTAATTTTTGAATTCAACAATGAAAAAGTCTACAATTGCCTCAAAATATACATTCAAACAATCACAACCAACTATAAGTTAAATATAGTCCATCCTATGTGTGTTTTATTGTCTGAAATCTCCCCATTCATTCCGGGTAAGCTTGCTGAAATGATCAAATTCACTGCAAGAACTATAGTCCTGCTATCCCCAAATACGTCCATACATATAAACCCAAAACACACATGGCCATCCAAAAGGTGTCCACAACTTTCTGTTGTGGGTTTTTGTCTCCATATAGATCAAATGCTGCCACTGTTAAATACAATCTTATTTTGGTAATAGTTTGTTTTTGTTTTATTTTGAAGGTATATCCGGTTGTAGTCAGTGTGTTTCTGTTCAGCTTGACGCCGTTGTAGTCTCCAGCAGACGCTGGTCTATCGCGCCCACCCCAGCCGTCTGTCAGCGCTGATAGACGGCGTCCAGAGCCCCGCGGCCGGCCTGCCCCCTCCAGGTTCAACACCTCACTGTCCGGTGCTTCCCAACCGTAGGTCCGCGGACACTCAGGGGTCCTTTTGAGTTTTTAGGGGATCCCCTCTTAAATCTGGAATAGTTTCAATTTTACTATTTGATTGTGGAAGTCATGAAAAATGTCACTGCAATTATAAGAATAAGATTTTCATTTTCATATTGTTTAACGTAAATAACGTAATTTAAATTTGTAGGATAAACACTTAAAGATGCCCCCCCAACCCTACCCCCTCTCCTCAGCTGAGCTCTATCTGGCAATCACAGCAGGGAGTTTCACCATCCAAGCAGGATCATGAATGATTTAGGGCTTGGATGATCCAGGAACACAGCAAGTCTTCAATGGAGAACACTCAGACTATAGAAGGACTGGGATTAGCCTCGGGCAAGAAAAATCCAAATTTACCTTATTTCAGAATAATGTATGAACTTCTACAAAGTGATTAAATCACATCACTTCTCATCACAAATAGACTGTAAAAGCACACCCTGTTGGTGTGAGGGGGGAAGTGACAGACATGAGCATTGTTGATTTCCAGTATCGTTGGGTGAAATCTAAGTTAATCAAGATTAAACACCACACAGAGCTCTTTATTTACATGTCAGGATATCATAGGGAATTCATCATTTTCATT